AAAGGAGCAGGTATGATGCTATTGGTCAAAGAATGTTGACCACCTGTTCGGGTAAAAGAAGAGCCTGATACTAGGCGGCTAATGAAATGTGTGGAAGAAGGTAAGCGCGGCGGAGCCGCGCAGTATCCTAGGAGGCGCGCCGGAGTCAGCCGGCGAAGCCGGCTGGTTTTTAAATAATATATCAACTACTGCTTTTGGTGGTTGGCTCTATTTGCTTTCCGCAATTTTCTTACTCTTTCTGAAAACCAGAGATGAGGAAAAACTTATGTCGCTTTTTGCTGGCTGCAAATCCCGTCAAGTGCACTAACAATGGATTGGACGAAGGGGCTGTCAACATTCAAGATATTCGTGTTCAAGATGTTCCGAGAGCAATGAGGACCTCAAATAAATGCCAAGGCCACTGTAAGACGAAGAAGGGCCCTAGTTGATTCAGTCAGATTGAGCCGTGACAAGCTCGTGCTGAAACTGTGGAGCCACTTCACATGTGATCAACTGGTAGTGCGCGAACGGTACCGCGAACTCCGTCCACCAAGAAAACTCGACCAGTGGGTCCCTTGCCTGCTTGTCCTTGCCGAAAAAGGCTCCTCTTAGCGCCCCTTGAAAAAAACGGCTGCTAAAAAATTGACCAAACAGGTTGTTTCAACCCATCCAACATATACTCCAGACTATGGCCCATGTAAATGTCATCTTTTCTGTCCGTGTCCTAAATATTTGTAAGTGAGTGAAGAAGTAGCGTTTCCCAAGTGATGGCGAACCTAGCCTGCCTTAAGGTTTTTGGCTTCGGAAAACTGGGAAGTTGGGAAACGTGGAATTTTCTTTCCTGACAATGAAAACATAGATGTTGCTGAGTCATTTGATGGCTATTTCATCACGTTTCCCGCTTAACCAATAAAAAAATTGATTTCAGATTTCTCATCATTATTTTTATTTACTATTTCTTATTTGGCGAAAAAACGACACTAATTGTGAGTTCGCCAGTACTATGATGAAATTTCCTATAGCATCTTCTACTATGCTGTCCTGGAGCCCCATGTCGATCTAAATGTTGTAGATAACACAAGTACGCTATCAAAATTCAATCTTCGTCAGTCGCTGAAGAGAGTGCTAGGCACCGCAGTATTTAAAAACACAGGGAATTTATCTGAAATTCTTTCCAATTCTTGTGCAAAAGAATTATGGGAGCCGCGAGAAGGACGGGGCGTGTCTACGTACAGTCCTCATCATTGCGGACCGG